ACCCCGCCGGCGCCCCCCACACGTGTTCACAGCTGGCCAGACGGCCCCAGAGCCCGTTGGTTGCCCATGGCCGGGAGTGGCCGGCCTGCCCCCCGCCCCAAGTCCATGTTTCCAAAGGCCGGCAGCTCCCAGTTGCCCAGGCAGGGATCACCAAAGCTGGCAGGAGCAGGCCGTGCGGGTGCTCAGGCCAACTCCCTAGGGGAATTTGTGGAGGCAGGAGGGCTCCGTGGCTCAGACGCGGGTGTGGTAACTCTACAACAGCTGGGACTCCACAGGGGTGTCCGTTCTCATGGCTGGCCTCAGGCTATGGGGGAACGCCTGTCCCGCCTGGACCTGGCTCCTCATGCGCCGCGCTCACGGTGTCCTCTTTCAGGGCACAAGAGGCTACCCAGGGCCCAAGGGCGACGAGGGAGATGCCGGAGACCCCGGACCTGACGTGAGTACGAGCGGCTGACATCATTTGCTTTCTAGCGGGCGCCGTGCCCTGGCGGAGGAACCGATTCATGCGGAGGGCGCAGCCTGCGGCGATGCTGGGACGCTGCCTGGCCTCTGGAGCGCCTTGTGCCTGTCGAGGGGCCTACAGGGAGGGGCAGCAGGGAGACACTAGCTCCCAGTAGGTTTGATCTGTGTGTCATCTGTGACGGCACGTCGGGGTTTTCCCATCTCCTGCACCCCCGTAATGGCACGAACAGACTCCACCAGCCAGTAGAATAGAGGAAGTTTATTGCTTCTCCAGGATACAGCACAGCACAGATGTCATCTGGTTCCAGGGCAAGCCTAGGATGCCTCAGCCCTCCCTTGAGATGGAGGAGACTGGGCCCTTAAATCCCAGCCCCTTTCCCTAGGCTGTCTCCTCCATGCTCCCAGACAGAAACTAACCCTCACCTCCAGCCCGGCCCCCAGACAGGGCTCCACTCCCCTTCTTCCCATTGTTCCGCTCCCTGGGAGATAACTGGTCAGACAGGTTGGAAGCCCCCTTGCATAATGACTCATCCCCTGCCCTGCTGGGCCGTGCTGCAGACAGCAGCCAGTGGAGGTCACTCACAGCCCCAGCATAGCAACCAGCAAGGTACCCCCACTACGTCACACCATCCAAGCCACACTGCCAGGCAGCCTGGAGCCGGTGCCGGGCACTCCTTGTTGGGTCTCTTTCTCTGGAGCACAGGGCTGGAAAGGGGTCTGGGGCAGATAGCCGTGACACCGAGCTGGGGTGAGTGGAAGGCAGGCCGGGCTGGCCGTGCACCAAGTGAGCTGGCTGTTGGGCTGGTCATGCAGAGTGCCCCATAAGCCGGCCGCTGGGATGGCTGTGCAATAGCCGTGACACCGAGCTGGGGTGAGTGGAAGGCAGGCCGGGCTGGCCGTGCACCAAGTGAGCTGGCTGTTGGGCTGGTCATGCAGAGTGCCCCATAAGCCGGCCGCTGGGATGGCTGTGCACGAAGTGAGCCTGGCACTGGGCTGCCCTGTGAGCTGAG